CATCTTGTTTAGAAAATCTTCATTATCTCAACCTCTGCATCTTGTTCCTCTTTATCAAGCAGCCAGCTGAATACGTAATAATGTTCAAGATGGACTCCCCCTCAGAGTTTGCATTCCAGTCTCCAATATCAGGCAGGGGTGTGTTGGTTCGGGGAATATAGAGGAGCAGTAGGGAGGGGAGGGGAGGGGAGCAGAGCTTGATGGTGCATGCTTATTAGCCTGAAATATCCATGCAACAGCTGCACCATTTCCGCGGCAACACCTGTCGCCATGGCGCTGAGTTGTCGACATGCCTCTGTGTCAGTGTCTGAATGTCTGAGGCGCTGCACATTCACAGTGTGTCCGACCTCTGAGAACACACACACACACACACACAGAGCACACACTTACTTCCCTAACTAATGCCCCGGCATGTTCAAAATCTCATACATGCAGCACAGCTTCCTTTATCAGTGGTGCCAACATGTAGACACTCCACACACACACACACACACACACACACACACACACACACACACACACACACACACACACACACACACACACACACCTCTATGGCAGCAGTGTTGAAGAAGCAGAAAGAGAATGTTTAGCTTATAGGTTTCTTTGTTGCATCCTTACATATTTAATTCTCTGCTTTCCTCCCTGCTCCCTCCTCGCTCCATTCCTACTCTCGTCACTCAGATGGGGAATTTTGCGTTTCCATGACAACCACAGTGGTGGAGGAAATGGATTAGATACTCTGCACTGTCTGTGGTGGGGGTGTGGTAGCTGCTGGATGGGGGAAGGTTATGGGCTTATGGGGTGTATAGCTTGTAAAGAGGGATTGGGTTTATGGTTGAGTGTAGTTTGAGTGTGTGTGTGTGTGTGTGTGTGTGTGTGTGTGTGTGTGTGTTTTGGAGAGTGTGGAGTGTGGGGGCAGAAGATGCCCTCAAACCACAGTGCACCAGATGGAGGCTTTTGATCCCCTCAAAACACATCCACATTGTTGTATCTTGTGATGGAATGGAAGCCAAACTGAAGTCTATTCGATTACTCTTCATTTTGTGTTCTATTACTTGTGAGCAGATCACACGACTTTACTGCTTTGCTTTGCACACTTGACCCTTGACTTGTGACCTAGTAAAGTGACACCTGATTGCAAGCATGGGGGGACACTTCTTCCTCTCATCTTCTCTCTCCAACCTTACTGCAGCAAAATCATAACGAGGCAATTAACCCTGCTTCTCTCACCCTAAATCCAACTCTCATCATCCCTCTCTCTGTCTGTCTTTCCCCCCTTCCCCCTTGTCTCCCTGTCTCCCCTCTGTCTGATTTCCATCCTCCCAGCTGAGAAAACAGGCGCGAGAGCTCTTGGCAGAGGAGATGAAGTGAGAGAGGGAGAGCAAGAGAGAAAAAGAGCAGAGAGGGGGCTTTTCAGATGAAGAGAAAAAAGGGTTTGCTGATTTGAAAGGGAGCATTGTGTTCTTCTTCCACATTGCTACAGCTCCATCTCTGTAATTTAGTCGAGCTAGCAGCCAGCACATTACTGTGTCTCTTTAAATCAGGGTAGTGTTAGCCTTAGCAACGTTCAGGCTCCAGTGCTCCAATGCTCCTGCTCAATGGCCTCCTCCTCCTCTCTCAGCCAAAGACCACTGAGCTCACAGTCAACTGTGCCTGATGGGCACATTCCTCTCTAGTGAAATGATAAATGAAAACAGGCTTTTTGGAAAACATGTAAGAAATATGGTAAATATAGTGTGTTTAGCAAAGCCTAGATAGGATGATTAAAGATGTAAGACATTGCATGTATGGAATGTTTCTTTATACTCATCCAATGAGTGGCTATTACTTGATATTTGCTGTGGTGGAGAGTCGGGGTGTATTTTTGGAGCAGGCTGACTTTGCCAAAAGAAAAAAAAGATTCCATTCCTTTCTCTCCCTGTTAATTTTTTATTAGAAACATCCATTAAAAAAACAGCAGAGTCTCTTTCTCTCTATCTCTGCATGAGAAGAAATCACATTAACCCACTGCTGTCTGTTCCTGGGTCTCTGAAACTTTCATATGCATATATCCACAAAGTGGGTCATTTGGATTTAGGCCATGCTCAGCATGACTGTGGCACTGCAAATATATACATTTCATCCCGGAGTCATTCCCGGGTAATGTCCAGATTAAGCTGGTCTTTATCCCTGCTGTGTTTCCACAGAGCAGTGCTCTGTCCTGCAACATGTGGTGACCCAACACACTGCACAGACAGCTGCAGGATCGGAGGAAGGAGGGTGTGAGGGGGGGCAGGGAAGGAAGAAGAGAGGAAGTCAGTGGGAGAGGATAAGGGGGAGGGTTCCTTCCTTTTGCTGGACTACTGAAGGAGAGGGGGAGTAAAAGAGGCGCGTAAACTCACTTCCTGTCCCGCCATAAGCAGCCATTACGTCATGTCCTACTCTTTCCGCACATGGGTCAGATGTGATCCTCCTCTGCCTGAAATGAGATCCTGGTTTCCTCTCCCTGGACCTTCCTGGCAGCTCACACACTGTGAGAGAGGAGGTGCAGCTCTGCTCTACTTTCTGCTCCAATCTAGACAAATTAGAATGAATTTGATTACTAGACTATTCAAGAAATGTGCTTTTCCATTCTTTTGTTTGTGAGAGTGTTTGAATGTCTGACTTCTTCATTGACTCATTGACTGACCACAGTGTGTAAGTGTGTCTGTGAGCCCCCACATGTCTGCTTATGTGTACTTGTGTCACATTCAGGATGTGATGATGCCTGTTATTCAGGCCTTCTGACTAATGTTATTACCGTACACAGGCAGTCCATTGTGAAGTTCCAGTCCACTACTGCTTCTCCTCTTTGGACAACCCTGCTATACATGCTATGGTTTGAAGATTTTTTTTGTGTGTGACTGTGTGTGTCACTCTATTGTGTATATGTCTGTGTGTGTATAATCAGTAGGAATGTGCTTAATTAAGCAAGATAGGGTGGAGGGGACCTAAAGGGGGCAATAACAGAACAATCTCTCCATTCTGCTGGATCTCCCCTCCGGGAAATGGATGACACATGGGGACACTGAGGACAGCAGGAGTCTCTATGAGTCATAGGATGACAAGCATCAGCTGACAAAATAACTCTAAAGCTTCTCTAAAGCTAAATAGTATACCGGTATCCATATTGTACCCATATGAATAATACTTCAGTTTCCTTTGATTGAAACCCCAAATTAGAATAGCTCTCAAATGGAAGCCCATACTGTAGATCTCCAGTGACTCAAACTGGGACAAACCCACAGTGTCATTACCTCTGACTCATCCACTTGTGTTTGTGTGTAGGATATTCTCTGCTCCTGTCTTCCATGTTTCCCTACATATGTCTCTGTCAGAGTTGCCCGGTTTGACTAATGGCTGAATATGTTTGTCTTCCTGCAGGTCATTCAGCTCAGCTGGGCCCTGAGTGGAGCCAATAATGGTCCGCTGCATAGATCTGTCATGAAGATGTGGAGAACAGAGAAAAGCATCCAGCCGCTGGGGCTGACAGTTACCGTGGCAACCACATAACACAATGAAAGAAGGGTGAGAGGAGTCGCCATTTTGGGTATGTGGATCTGTACTGTTTGATGTGGGAATGCTGCTATGTGAATAATTAGATTGTCACATTAAAATGATGATTTAATCTAAAATGAATGCTCAATAAGAAAAATGTATGTGAAAACCAGCAGATGGGGATTTTTAAAAGAATTAAAATATCTTTTATTACTTCAAATGTCTCTTAGTTTTTGGTTTTATGTAATCTTCAGGCGGTTACCTTAACTTGGGAAAATTGCATTAGCTGGCATTAGAGAGGATGTCTCGCCTGATTCATGAACATTCACATCATCTCCATTCTTCCTTCCATCCCCCAACATCTGCAGCAGAGCCTGCTCCTTTTGTTTTGCTCAGTGACGTCCCATGGGCTATTTATAGGGACGTATGTTATTGTGTAAGACCTTGTGAAGGCACAAAGAGCCTGAACATGCTACCATGTTCCCCATAGTGGCCCCAGGATCTCTGAGAGGTTAACAGAGGAACATGTGGCTCTGGTATGATGAGCTGAACAAGGAGACAGTGAGTTTAGGTGGAATAAGCTTCATGAATATAGACGTGTGTGGTTTTTACATTGTTAGTCTCCTCGAAGTGTTGCTACCATTCATCTATTTTCTGTTTTTAGACAGTAGCAGACATCAAACAATATACAGTCAATCAACTGCAACTGTTTTAACCATTTGATGATTTGTTATATCCATTGTAATAATCATCAATCTGAGAACAAATTGGCTATCATATATGAATACTGAGGGTCAGTATCATCTGTTCTACCATGTTTTTCATCACCACCAAATGAAAAATATAAAAGAAAATATATAAAATACTAAGATAACCAGCTAAAATAAAATTATATTTTTTTTCCTGCTCAAGGTAATGCTTTTACTGAAATCATTTCTTGCTGCCATAACTTTTAAAATGTTAATACCAGTCAGTTTAATAATGACGTCCAACTTACAAGTTACAATTTGGTACATTTGATGGATATGAATTATCTTATCAACAGAAGTAGCGTGGCAATAAAACGCCCACATTTATTACTCCAATTTAACATGTGACAACAGAACAGCAGTTAAAAAGGGTGCATGTTAAATTTGAACTGTCACACACACTGAAAATAATTTTGTGGCCTCATATTTTGTATTTTTGGACCCTTTATCTGCCACATAGAAAACCTGAAATGGACCACGGATACAGCAAAGCTTCTTGGGAAACATTAAAAGTGCTGCAGTCCTGCTAAATGTAGGTCACACACACAAAAAGCCCTAAGCAACATTTTTACTGCACAGCACACTGCATCTTACAGCATTAAATGCTTTTCACAAAGTGAGTCTCACAAATAAATAGGATTAGTAGTGTAAATGATGCACAAAGTTAACTCACTCAAACTGCAGTATGTATGATAATTACACATAACATAAAACAAACCACACACACAAATATTTCTTAAATGATTTCAGAATCTTTTATTTGAAATGTCAGTGTTCAAGAGAAAATAAAACAGCAATATAAATATTAGCATAAAAATAAGAGTAACACAGGGGTAAAGCGTGGGGGCTAAGCATTTGATAAGAAAGATAATACAGCAGGATAGAGTAGTATTAATTCAGCAGCGGACGGACTTACACATATATAATATTTATAATCATTTGTTCATATGGACAGAAAGAGAATGAGAGGCATTCTTTCACAAATGCACAAGATAAAATCACCGCAAAAGAACATTAAGAGGTTACAGAAGGATAGAAACATTTTCATATTTTTTTTTTTTTGTTTCTTTACAGGGTGAAAAAAGATAGAGAGAAAATGAACACAAAAATATGCGCAACACATATCACAAGTTAACTAGTCTACGTGTGTCACTTTGTTTACTTATCTAAAGTTATCTTTAATTCATTTATTTACACTGAAGAGTTAGTTGGCTTCCATGGTGCTTAGTTACTACATTGCAACACAAACTGTTGAAGAACATCTCAGATTTTTATTCATTATTGATTTTTTTTTTTTAACCGTGATTTTCTTATTTTTCTTGAAAAACAAAATGCAACACATTCCAGTAGTAAGCCACGCCTTGTGGAGAGGGACTTTTATTTTGAAAATGTTGGACGTGGTCCCTACTTTACAAACAACTGGCTCATACCATCGACAGGACTTGTGTTTATTTACAGTGGGGAAGAGCCTCACAGGACCAGGGAGTGGAGGGGAGAGGTGAGTGGTAGAGAGGCTAAGGTTTTCCATTGATTTCAATGGAGGAGGGATATTTCAAAGGGCTCTTGAGTGGTATCTTCTCACCAACAGGGACAGATGTGCTTGGCTCTGTTGACCTCTACCTGGGTCAGTGCATTAGAGAAGGTTTAAGGGGTGGGCAGGTCAACAGTGGTTCCTCTGTACATTCAGTGGGTAGAGCCAAGGTTGTTTCCCCACCCCTCTGGTTGATGTAATGGTGATGCCTCAGTCTGTGTACCCCTCACCACATCCCCTCCACTCCCCCTGACCCAGCCTGCAAGCTGCCTTTTCTCATGCAGTTGTATCTGGCCAGAGGCCTGACAGACAGATGGACGGCAAAGTAAAGACTTCATATCTTATACAAACAATTCCTCTATGCTATCGAATCATTATCTCCCAAAGAAAAAAAACATGTTACTGTGTCACATCAAGAAGTTTCTTCAACACTTCAGGATAGTGAGGGCAAATACTCTAGCGGCTTGCAAGTGTCTAGAAACTCCTAAGCACTTAAGTTTACCACATCTATGCGTTTCCCTAAAGACTGAAGTGATTACTACCCCTACATCATCAGAATACGAACAGTGCATTTCTCTTTGTTTGGCTCTCAACGTGGGGTAGTGAGTGAGGGGGAGGGACACGAGTTGGGTGTGAAGAGGGGAGGGTAGAGGGTGCAGGACATGTTTGTGCCCATCTGGAGGTGTTATACAAGATGCCAGTCCCTGCTGCTATACCACCTGCATGGACAGCATGGCTTGTGACTGCATGACACAATATCACGCCACCTGACCCTCTGCCAGCCCTTCCTCTGAATGCATGCTCAGGTCATAAAAATATCAGGAGATTGAAGTTGTATTTTTTTTTTAAACTATGATTACAAAAGTAATTTTAATTTTGTGTCAAGTAAATGCTACATGTGCATTATGTTGACCTGCGATTGGAGCGAGGATAACAGATTCAGGATGTCCTCCTCTTTGCTTTTGCAATGCATAGTTTGCAACTCTAAACTAGTATATGTGGTTTGAACCTTTAAAGAGCATGCAGAAAAGTTTGTAATACCTGTCAAACAATAGCCTTATATCCACAGGACTTACTTCAAGACCCTGCAAGGCTGACCCTATATTGGAATCTAATGGATGGCAACTAGCGTACTTTACAATAGCTGACTTTCCACCTCAGGGAAAGTGCACAATAAATCCAACATGAAAGACACTAACATTTCACCTGTGAATACATCACTGCGTACAGCCTTGTCATCCCAGCAAGGTTCGTTACACTGAATCTCTTTGTCAAAGTTTATTTGATTTTGCCAAAAGAAAAAAACAAAACAAAAATCACTATAACCCCCCATACCCTGCCAATATTATCCACCGACAATGATTACGTGAGAAATACTTGACCTTTAGCACAGCATGAGTTATCAACACCAGTAACAGCCTTCAGCACATTCTGATTCTTCAAGACACTCTTCCAAAGAACCATCAACAACGTCCATGTGGTCAAAAGTGATTTGCTGTCATTATTTAGACCGTGGTTATGAGAGACAGCGGAGCAGTAAGATACCTAATGTGAAGGGTATGGGGGGTTGATTTTCTTATCAGATCAGGCCGGGTTTATCATTCCTCCACCTCTCTCCGTCCAGCTCTACTTCTTCTCCTTCTTGGTGGACTTCTTCTTGGAGGCAGGTGTCTGGGCGGCCTTCGGGGGCTCAGGCTGGGCCGAGGCCTGGGGTGGAGGCAGCGCCTGCTGGGTGGCCTGCTGGGCCGTGGCCTGCTGTTGCTGGGGGTTGGAAGTGAGGGTGGCCGTGCTGCCGGGGATGTAGACGTTCTGGCGATAGTCGGGCACATGCTGCAGGGTGAACTGTGGGCTGTAGCGGGTGCTCAGGCCCATGGTGCCAGGTCCCAGGGTGGCTGTAGCCTCGCTCACTTCTGGGGGGAAGAGAGACAGAGTGGGGGAATGACGGGTGAGGAGGGAGAGGAGGGAGGGATGAAACTTGTTAGACAACAAGAAATTGAAAGTTTTAGTATGACAGTGTTATTCAAGTAGTGAAATGAAAATAGTGCATAAAATGAGGTTAAACTAATTACTTTTAAAGCTTCTAAAAGAGATACGGTACTTGAGTGAAGGTAGATTCTGTGTGAACATCAAATTTGATTTAAACACATTCCGCTGCTTGGGCAATGAGGTTGGAGTGAGCTAAACTTAAAAACTGAGCCCATAAGAAAATGACAAATGAGGCGGAGAAAGTATTACACAATCGTTGATTGTGTGTAGATGTTTTTTTTTAAAACCAAGAAAAAAAACAAACAAGGATCATGATCTCCCCAGCATACCCCTCTGTGATTCTGGTTTTCTACCACGCCTGCCCTGAGTGTGTGTGTGTGTGTGTGTACGTGCACGCATGACGTAGCTGCTCAGCTCATAATTCTCCCACAGCCCCTGCATTGCAGAGCCAGAGACACAAACTCTCCCTCCCCCATCCTGTAGTTCCTCTCAGCCTATATAAACGCACATATGCACACGAAAACATCATGCTAACTGCACTGGAGTAGAAAACTGAAAGCTACATTTCTTTATACATATTATGCTCTCACACATTGCTTTTTTATTGATTCCTTCTGTGTTGTGTTTAACAACACAGTGAGATTGAAGTGTCGAGGAGAGACGACCTTCAGTATTTATCACATGCACTGTTTGTTCTTTCCTTCCTGATGGCACTAACTGTTCTTTCTGTCTAACTTTGTGCTGACACGCAAGTTACCACTATGGCCAAGACAGAGCCTTTTCTCTTTCCATCTCTCTGTTCACTCCAATGGAAAAATTTCACACCACGTCCGGTGCAGTGTCCAAGAGGGGGGAGGGTGTGGGTGTGTGTGTGTGTGTGTGTGTGTGTGTGTGTGCGTGTGTGCGTGTGTGCGTGTGTGTTGTGTGTGTTGTGTGTGTGTGTGTGTGTGTGTGTGTAGAGGGAGGGAGATGTGATGTGTCAATGGTTAAAATAACAGTGGAAACAATGACTTGACTCTATTTGGGAATTGTCCTGTGTATGTCGTAATTTTTGACTGTCACTGTGTTGCTTAGAACGCTTTCAAAGCCAAATTTATGTGTGTTTTTCCAGGTTATTACTAAGGCTTCCACACAACAGCCCAAAGATGAATGACTGTATGTGTCCTCTCAGTGCTGGTTAGGCAGTCACAGTAGGAACGGAGAAATAAGGTAGAACATATGTTGTGTAATATGGGAATCTTTGGTTTTTCACAAACCTGGAGGTTGTATATTACATAACTGTTCATGTAGCTCTATAGCCTTCTGCTTATGACAAAACACTGTGCATGTGATCATTGTGTACAGTGGAAACATGCATCTCTGTCATGTTGTCGAATTCAACACATCAACTGTACTACGTAGGTAGTTACGTCTGAACATCATCTGAGCCTTTCTCCGAATGCTTATTAGCACACAACCACTACATGGAAACATCAATGTGGGCACAGAGAGGTTTATCAATGAGCGAGTCTGGCTAGTTGCCCTACAACCAAACACAAACCTAAATAAACCGCCCCTGCCCACGCACCCTCAACAAGCTATTGGCTTGGAAAAGAGAAGATGAAGAGATAGAAAGGGAGGAAAAAGATGAGGTATGGGACTCACCGTTAGCTGCAGCCATCAGGGCCTGGAGCTGCTCAGCCTCAGTTGGGGGCTGGGGCCAGGGGCCAGTTCCCATGGCAACCTCAGGTCCTCCAGTTGCCCTGTGGCGAAAACGAGGAAAGAACAACAGTAAATAACTGGTGGTCTGTCCTCCTCTCTCTGTGTGTGTGTGTGTGTGTGTGTTTAGCTCACTGGTTTGACAGTTGGTGGTTTATGATGTAAAGGCAAAGCAGCTGACGGCAAAGTACACAGCCTGAGGAGACCTCAGCAAGGATAACAAAGATGATGTATAGTTTACAAAACAGGGTGTGTCGCAAACAAACGCACACTCTTAAACACACTTTTGTTAAGGCATGTACAAATTGTGCCTGCACACAGACACAAAGTAGCAAGCGTGTTCGCGCATTCACACACAGTAAACATTGTACAACATTCGCTCTTTCTCCCGTATGACCACGAGCATTGCACCGTCTAGTAAATCTGATTAAATATTTAATGATCCCACCTTTAAAGGAAATAGCTGTCTGCATAGTCACACATGCAGCGCTCAGTGAGCGCTGAACATTTCCATCTGGGCAAACTTCACCTTCAAAGGCTTGTTTATTTAAACTCTGCAATTTGCATGTGGGGGCAACAGAGGAGAAAGCAGACCTGCGATCTATTATGCTCACCTACTTATTTCCATTCCCACACTGGTAACACCAACACAAGCTCTGACAAATAGGTCACAATGCTTTAATCCCAGCTCTGTTCCTGTTTCCAAAGTGCTAATAAACTAAAAACTAATAAAGCCACATCACTTCATTAGAAGACCAGCAGTCTCAAAAAACATGTAAAACCATGATGGATGCTGCCCCTAGTTCCTGAGCAAAAACAATATGGATTTTAGCTACTCTCACAACCTCCTGAATTGTGTCTGTGTATGTAAGTACATTGCTTATTTGACTGTTTTGGGTAATAACAAACCACCTGAGGGCATTTGGTGGAGGATCATTAGCCCACAGGGACATGGGTAAAAGGTTCTGGTGGAGTGTAAAGCTCCAAGGAGGAGAGACACATATCGGGGATTAAAAGGCCACAAAGGTTTCAGGTAATACTTTCTGACAAAAATAGGGTGGAGTAATACATTAGGGATGTGGGACTGCATATATATATATGGTATATATATATATATATATATATATATATATAGTGTGTCAAATACATGGGATGTAAAGAGGAATGCTATCTTTTCTCTTGGACAAATTGGTCTGCTTCAGGGACTTAAGAGAAAGTAAAGGACACAAGGGGGGAAAGAGTGAAAAAGGAATTCTAACATAAAAACAGGGATTTGTTTAAGAGCAGGTTGCCAGATCTCACTGCCAAAACTCTGAAGTGGTTTTCAGTTCAGTGCCAGAGAGAGACTGAGGGAGAGAAACATGTACGTCCTGTGCCAGGCAGCCAATGAGAAACAGGCTTAGTAAGAGCACGATCAGTAAAGCCAGGGCAGCCATTTTGTGCCTATTCACAGCATTTAAGATAAAAGGGAATGCTTCATTTGCGCTAAATTGGCATCTCTCTGTACTTATCACATCCTGTGGTTGTGTTAAGCGCTTCCTGTGGTCAGGATTATCACTTCCTGTGGGCAAGATTGTGAACTGTGGTCCAGAGGGATGTCCTTGCTTAGCCAGAGAGGACTATCGTTTTTTTCCTCTGCAACCTTACATGACATGTTTTTTCTTTAAGGATGGCTCTTCTTGTTGTTTTGCAGAGAACCTTCTAGTGATTAACTTCAAACTTTAACTTAAGCCCAATCAGCTAGTCACATGGTGTACATCATGACTTCTGTCTCATCTGCACGTTGACCACGAGAGTTTAATGTGGAGAGCTGTTTATTTCACTGAGGAACTTTTTAACCTCTAACAGGCGTTTTATGGAAATCAATCATGAGGCAGCTGCCCGCAGTGTCCCTTTCTTCTAGTTGTTCAGTGGATAAATCACATGAAAAAGCCACATGTGGTGATGTTGAGCTACAACCATCACAGACATACACCAAAGGCAACACTGTATGGTAAGCCAGTCTTCTAGAAGGTCTTCTATAATGACTATATGTATAGCACACATACATGAAATAACAAATCTACAAAACACTGCACGCAAACTCAAAAGTTTCACAATCCTTTCTACGCCACAGCAGGCATTGTGGCCTATGCACATCGATCAACAAACCCCATCAGACTTTTAGGGAGACTAACAGAAGCTATGGGTTAGGTACATCTACACACAGCACAGCACTCAACTGCAGTGCACTACCTAAAAGATTTTAGCCCCTCTCTGCCCTTACCAGCTGATATGTGATCAGGTCCCTCTACCACCGAACAGTTAGTGAACAAAACTGAACACTGATCAGCTGCTAAGGACAGAAAGTGACCATATAGTGTCTATGTCTAAATTAGTACCTTGTCCCACTCTTCGGCGTCCATCGTATGTGTGTACCGTACGGCATGTGGGGACTAAAAACACAACAAGTTATACAGCCTGAAAGAACCATTGTGTATTTAAGGGAAAGTTTGAGTTAGTGTAACAAATAGGAAAATGCTGAGATATTGTGGTCTAGATCTCAGTGGAAAATATGTTGAGTCTGTTATATCTATTTAAAATACCAGAGATGGGGAGTTAGTTTTCTTTCTCCTCTGAATTACATCCAGAATCCCAGTGGTATTCTAGAACGACAGTGGCGTGTGTTTGTGTGTCTAACATTTTCCTGACTTGGCTCAAAAGAGCTTTCTGCCCTGGCTGGTATGTTTCAGGGAGAAGCCTTGACTCATAGAATGTGTTGTGCAATCATTGTTGTGAAAACTGTTACTGCACGCACTCCATTTTAGCCCACACATTATGGGCAAATAGCAATCATCAACCATCAACACAAAACACTCACTAAAACACACAACTGAAACAGAGAAACACAATGCATATAATGTCATTTAATAGGCGAGTCACTGGTGTTAAAATTTCAAGTAACCAGTCAGTACGATTTCTCAGATGGCAGTGCAAGAGGGATAAATACACTGTCCCATCCCCCCACTAGCTCTGGTCACCGTCCCTCATCAGTAGTACTGAGTGATGGCGCACAGGCGAGGAGAGAGCGCAGAGAGGAGAGGAACAGGAGGGGGAGGGGGAGTGGAAGCTGCAGCAGCCATTTTATAAAGCAGCCTGGAACCAGGCAGAGATGCTCAGTCAAGAATCTGTATTCACTGAGCACGAATCATGCATTAAAATGCAACCATACAATTTTAACAACAATAGTGTTTGTGCTACAATGTCATTCAAGGTCAGATTCAGATGGTTGCATTGTGACTTTGATGTCATCTATACTTTATAATCAGCACCCTGCAGGCAGTCAGTTCTTATGGTTGCAGCACCCACTATCCACGTTCCCCCTCTTTTTGTTATTCGTCATCCTTTATCACTCCCTCTGTCTTTATGATGAGCTCTTTGTGCAGTACACTAACATGTCCTTCATGTTACTGGGAATGTTTATCAGTGTGTGTGTGTGTGTCTCAGTTTACTCACCCGCTAGGTCCGGGTCTCTGTCCCTGTGTGAAGCGCCAGTCATTGTTGGGAGGCTTTTGCTGTGAAGAGAACAGAAGATGCAATATGAATTGTATGTTTCAATGCACCAACAACAACGAGGTGTAACTTTCGGTTTAAAAGGTGTTGCTTTGTGGACATCTGCGTGATGGTGTATGTCTGTGTGTCTGTCTGTGATTTAGAAAACCATTTTGTTTTTCAATAAAGCTCAACAAAGGATTACAGATGGCAACAAATCTGTATGCTCAGGCATCCATGTTGTTCCAAAAGTTGTGGAGCATAAAATGCTGCAGAGGAGCGCACACACACAAACACGCACACAAACTGGGACTCAAAACTAAAAACAAACGGCTAATAAAAAAAAAAAAATATGATCACATAACTGAGAAATCAGCACAAAAAGCACCAGAATAAGTCGGGAATTTGTCACTGGATGACCACACAAACAAAGATTAACCTAAAATACAGAATTTAACAGATTAGGCAAAACAAAACTATAACACTTCCTGCTAGCGCTGATAAGACTTTTGATAAGGTTTTTTATGGACAGATATCTTATAAAAATCTTTTAAATAGACTCAGAGGGCCAAGAATCGTTGGAAGATAATGTTGTAAGTTATTTTGATACCAAAACATCAGCTACGATGGTGGCTCTGCAGTGATAAGCCTCTCTCATCTCTGTGTCCCTGCTACTCTCTATTAATGTCTTCAAGCCCATTGCACTCTTGTCCATCTCTACATCACTGTCCATGCCACCATGTCTTTTCCATCTCTCTAGCTCTTTCCCTCTCTCTCAGGCTCTCTTGTTGTGCAGTGATGCGGTGAATAGACCTCTTGGCTTGGCTCCAGATTCTGCCGCCTAATCGACACAAGAGCTCCCCGGAGAGAGAGGCCAGCAGGATGATGTGCTGCATTATTAAAAGAGCTGTTCTACTCGAGGGAATGAAGCGAGAGAGCAGGAGAGAAGACAGAGAGAGAAAATCCCTAAAAACATACCTACACAAAAAGATCCATATTGGAGTATGAACTGGTGACTATCATGACTGGAGCATCTAATAGAATATGGATAATAAAGAACCGTAACAGAAAGATTCAATAGGGGAGAACATTGTCTGGTCTACTAAGGACCTGTGAAGGACACTACAAAGGGAGAGGGAGTGTGAATGATAACAAAGTGATGAAATTGTATAGGATCCTGTTTGTTCAATAATACAACGCAATTATTTAACAACCCTAGAAAACATATAGTGTTAGCGGTCAGTGGATTCAATTTCAGCGTAGTCTACAAAAGGCTCTGTTTCACCTTGGTGGTAACTCAACACAGTGAGTCGAGTCTACTACACTTGGGAAAACGGAAAATAGAGTTAAATCAAGAGAAGACAAGTCTGCTTGGTTACGTCCTCATAACAAACTGCAATGCCAGAACTCACAAGTTGTCGTTATTCCAACATAAAACCATAGTGGATGAGGATGAGTAGAGGAGGGCATATTTGAACTCTTATCCTCCTTCAGAGCAGAGCTTGGTCAATGTTTATCTAAAAATGGACTCAGAGATGAGTGTATGTGCGTGGGCATGCAGTCTGTTTGAGCTTTGGTAGGGAGAGAATAAGAGCACTGAGTGGAGGCAAACATCCACAGAGAGGCCCAGCATTCCAGCTGTGTGACTCGTTCTCACCACACAAACACTCACAGACACACGCTTGTCATTTCCAAGGTCAAACCCCACTGCAGGCATGTGTAATAAAGGGTAACAGACTGGGCCGCACTGCTAGCTTAAGGCAAACATGTACTGTCATTCTGTATCCTTCATTATGAAAAATGTGGCTATGCATACAAATTCCAAGCAGACAGGTAATATCCATGAGAATGCAACCTTCTTCTGTTCAAGAAGAAAGTCAGACTGAGGGACTTAATCCTTTCACTCAACCACAAACTGGTAAGAGTTGCTGAGTTCCTAAGAGGTTCAAACAACAGTTGCCAGGGAAAACAAACCCCAAGCCAGGTTTAATGGCATGCAGACAGGGTTCAAAATCTAATTGAGTTTAGCTACAATTATCTGAGCATCTTCAAATGTGCTTGTTTTTCTTTGTCTCTGAAGTAAGTGGACCCCTTAAGATACATATGAGAGGAACATATTAAAAGTGTACAAGACGTTTTCCAGAGTGCAAGTTAAATTTAAAGGCAGGAGCTCCTCAGGCCAGTGGAAAGGCATGAAGGGATTAGTTCTGTGGGGCTGAAATCCAGTTGAACGACTTTCATATCAGCCTGGAAGCTTTAAATACTGTCAGTCAGCTTCCCTTACATCTGTAAGTTGAAGCCAAAGAGCTTTGAGGGCTCTGAAGGTGAATTACAACCTGAATGAGTTCCTTAGCTACCGCGACAGTATGTCAGTCAGTCAAAGTACTATCATCTTAAGAGATGAGATGGATATTCATTATGTGAGCACTGGATTCACCAGGGGCTATATGCTGGACTGATCAGCACATGGGCACATCTGGACTTCATCCACCATGTTTTAAAATACATGACTGTGAACTTTGCACAAACATCTGGTTTAATGGTTGACCACTCCATCATGATACACAAAGCTTCAGCCAGGTGTACAAAAAAATCAATCTCATCCCTTTCTGTCTGTTTCTGTCTGTCTGACAGGGGTGGAAAATATGCAGTACATGCAAACACTTCCTTCACACATACAGGTCCATCTGGCACTCTTTGTGGAATATTAAATTTCCTTCACACAAACTTATTAACGTATTGGTGTTAAAAGATCTGTGGCTGGACTGCACCTGGTGCTCTGTCTGTTCTGTTCTATTGCTCTGATATTATTCAGTGTACACACACTCATACACACCGTATCATATAAACCATCATAGGCATACACATATTATGCCGGTATAAATGTGGAAAAATATATAGAAAAATAGGATGTGTAGCCATTAAAATGCTGGATTCATTACACTGCTAATTCATTATAAGGGAAAAGCTGAGCACTGAGACAAAGCACAATGTGTGGTGCTTGATTTTAATATTCCTGTCCCTTAAACAAACATTATGACTCAACTGATAAAACCCTTGAGGACAGTTTTCCTGAACCACATGAGCCAGTTGTCGCATGTGCAGCTTTTTCATCCATAAAAAAGTATATTTACTAAACACTCAACCTGTGCACGTGCCAACCCTCATAAACTCTCACAGACACAGTGTGGAAAAACACATGGTCATGGCAATATTCATATCCTGTTTTAAATCGCAGATTTTACAGGGATTTTACAAGCTAGGGGAATAACTGCAAAGATAGATGGAAGAGACAAGTGATAACAGGCAACTTAGTAAGTGAGTCAAACGCATGACATGATGCAGTCCATTGTAAAGCAAATTAAGCTTTTAATTTAGTTTCCAATATTTCAGAGAAGAAAAGCCTTTAATATAAGTTTCCCCCAAACTTTCTGTGCTAGCACCTGGTGTGTGTGCCAAAACAGCACACTGTAAATGAAAAGAGGACACAAAGAAGGGGAGTGGGAAGTGACAGACAATCAGGCACTAAGGCCCCAGGGTCCAGCTAAAATTACACACTGCTGGAGGGCTCCTCGTGCCTGATGCTTTGTACACACAATCTCACACGCAAGCATATATACACCAACAATGAGGGCTGCTGCACTAAAGCTATTATAGCTTGTGCAGTGGTGTGGTGTGGTGTGTGCGCTGTGGCACACGTGCGTGAAGCCATCCTTCCTTTCCCTTTATCCATCCCTCTATCTCTTTTCCTCTGTTGTCCTCAGTGCACACGTGTCACTAGAGCAGGGGGACAGATGGTACTCTGCTGACCTCAGAGACAACCTAATTCAGCACAGAGAGAGTGTCTATGTAATACAGACTCAAGAGAAACCAGAGAATCTTATGGATATCAAACAGACTCTAGGGTAGACCCCCTGTTGTGTGGAGAAGGGATAGTTATCACCAATCTATTTTCCTTCCTCCTATCTTCAATCATCAACTCTACATTAAACATCCCATGACTGAGGATGAAACATTACTCATACTTTCTCTTTCATTTCATTTCCCTAAAATAAATCATCCTGGTGAAAGCACTGTCAGCCATTTTCTATCCCTGACAGCACCCCATTGCATCAAAACACTAAGGGGGTTGTCTGTGTCCTGTGCATGTGATTAATCTTTGGTTAGCCTTCCTTCACACCCTTCTCTGAGCACATGGAAGAAATGTGGCCTTTCTGACCAAGGATTTAGCCAGAGAAGCCTCACTATGTGATGTTGAGTTCTGGAACCAATCACCAAAAGTTCAGAGGACAACAGGAAGTCAGGGTCAGGCCACTGACCCCATGAATTCCTGTTTTTCAGCTACTGCTTTATTCTTTGACTCTCCACCCCTCTTACCATTTTCTTTCCTTGGCCCTTTTCCTCTCCACCCTCCCCATCTCTCCCTCTGTCATCCTGTTGCCCTCTGTCTCCCAGCCATTCCACTGAGCCAACACTGCAGGACCTATTTTCATCTGTTTGTCTCCTCCTCTCCATCTGTTAGGAGCACTTATGTTTCCCCCTTTTCCCTTCCTTTTGACATTTCTTTAACTATCTCCAACTACGTTCTTTATGCCTAACTAAGCAGTTCCTCTCTGCCAGTTTTAGTTACTGGAAGTCAGAGATAGTAACCACATTTCCTAGCCTGGGGTCATATTAAATATTTAGCCCAAACCTGTTTAGTAGGACAGCAAAGCTCTAAGAGCTTTTTCACCATGAGGAGAGAGAGATCATCCTCCTAAAACAAGTGGAGTTTCAGATAAAATACTGCAGAGCTACGTGACTGAAGAAATCTAGGTTAGCACTCTACTGCTAAGAGTCAAAGCATCAAAGTTATGGTTTTAACCCATTCATTGTATAAATATACCTTCACAATGTCAAAACTACGTGTGAAAGACAATTGTTGAGTTACTTAATGCATTTCTCAAACCTGCCTATAGATACTGAATCACCTATATTGGTCTTAGGAAACCACACCATATCCCACCGGTGCCATGCCTGCTCTCCCATTTAATCCCTCACCTCACTGGCTGAGTTCATAAGGTGCTTCCTGCTGAGTGTCATGTTGAGTGTGTTGTTGTGACTCAGCATGGGTGTCTTCATGAATACAAAGTCACTCCGGCTGGATAAGGTGGAGTAGCAGGGCCTGTAGGTGCGTGTGTGTGGGTCCTGAGAGCCTCCCACAACCTCCATATAGCGTATGGGTCCATCAGTATTGAGCTGCAGGTGCAGGTCTTTGCTGGGCCTCTGATGGTAGCGGCTGGGCCTGTGGCGACCGTAGCAGCAGCAGTCAGAATCTCCCAGCCCTGGGCCACGGTGCCTTAGGCAGCGTACCATGAGGATGACAAAGGTGATGAAGGACACAGCTGACACACAAGCTAGGGAGATGATGAGGTACAGGGTGATGTCCGACATCCCAGTGCGATTGGAGAAAGGTGTGTGACGAGGCCTTGTTGGAGCATCGTTGTCTGCACCCTTTTCATCCACAGTGACTGTAATGTTCACAGAACTGGACTTTGGTGGGTCACCATTGTCCTGAATGATGATCACAATGTCATAAGTTGAGCCCGCTTCCTCCTCAGCCCACTTGCGGGCTGTGCGGAGCTCACCGGTGTGTGCCCCAATACGGAACATGCCAGCATTTGGTCCAGGGGCGATGGAGTAAAACAACCATGCATTGTGCCCACTGTCTGGATCCACCCCTACAAGTTTATTTATGTAGTGCCCTGGGCCGGCAGATGGAGGCACAGTGAGCTGTAATCTTTTGTCTTTTGGGAAGGAGGGGTGTACAACCACTGGTGCATTGTCATTCACATCCACCACAAACACATGCACAGTGACGTTAGCTGTCCGTGGGGGCACCCCAGCATCCCGGGCCTGCACCTCAATACGGAAAGCCTTAAGCTGTTCATGATCTAGAGAGCGCATGCTGTAGATGTGGCCACTCTCTGGGTTAATGTAGACATAAGAAGAGATGGGTGAACCCTGGACCATGCTGTGAAGTATGGAGTAGGAAATGCGAGCATTGTCACCAAGGTCTGGATCAGTGGCTGACACTGCAGTGATTGGGGCACTGGGAGCATTGTTCTCTGGGATGTCCACAGAGTATGAAGGCTGAGAGAAAATGGGGGCGTTGTCATTTACATCAGAAAGCTCCACCACAAAGGTGGTTTGTGATGACAGGGGAGGGGAACCAGCATCAGTGGCCTTGATGACCACTGTGTACTCTGGGACAGTCTCACGGTCCAGGTTCCCAGTAGTGATGAGACTGTAATGCATGCCAAAAGCTGAATTAAGTTTGAATGGCAAACCTGGTTGGACAGTTAATGTAACCTTCCCATTCACACCAGAGTCCAGGTCCCGGGCACTTATAAGCGCTATCACAGTCTCTGGTGCTGAGTCCTCTTGGATGGGACTCGTCAGTGACGTCAGTGTCACCTCTGGTGCGTTGTCATTTGCATCAATGATGTCTATTATGACGTTACAGGAGCCCTCCATAGCTGGAGAGCCACCATCTCTGGCCTGCACTGTGATGTGGTATGCAGCGGCTTTCTCATAATCCACATCACCCTTCACGCGAATCTCCCCGCTTTTAGAATCCACACTGAAAAGACTGACAACGCGTTCCGGTGTGTATTTACTAAATAGAAAAGATATGTCTCCGTTGTTACCCGAATCCGCATCAGTCGCGTTCAGTTTTGTTACTAAAGTGCCCCGTGCAACATTTTCTAATAGTTTAACTTTCTTAACCGGCTCGTCAAAGACGGGCGCATTGTCATTTACATCCAAAATTTTAATGAGCAGAAGTGTTGAGCCAGATCTTTCCGTCTGTCCCCCATCTACAGCAGTGAGCAACAAGCGAAACGAGGCCTGCGTCTCCCTGTCCAAAGCTTTATCCACCACTAGCTCTGGAAACTTACTGCCGTCACTTTTAGATTCCACATTCAATATAAAGAAGTCATTTGCTGCGAGATGGTAAGTGCGTAAAGAGTTGGTCCCCACGTCTGGATCATGTGCGCTCTCCAAACGGAACCTGGTCCCCGGCGCCGCCGCCTCTGATATTTCCAGAGAAATGTTGCTGGTTGAAAACTGCGGCGCATTGTCATTCACATCCAGAATGTCCACCACGACGCGTTGAATGTCTAAAGGATTCTCCAGAAGTATTTGAAGGTGTAGTGAACACGATGAACTTAATTCGCACATTTGCTCTCTGTCTATTCTTTGTTTAATAACCAAATCTCCGGTCGCCTGCTTTACCTCAAAATACTGCGTTGTGGATTCCGAGACCACCCGCAACTTCCTTTGAACAATCCCCTCAGCAGTGAGGCTCAAATCTTTAGCGATATTCCCAACGACAGAGCCCGGGCTTAGTTCCTCCGATACAGAATAGCTGAGCTGGGCGGTCGCACAGGAGAGGCAAGCTAGATAAACGCAGAGCCTCCACAGCCTCCCTCCTCCGGAGCGCTTCCTCTGTCCGGAGTCCATTGTGCTGCGCTCCGAGGATCGGAGAATGGGAAAGTTTTTAACTTCTTCTTTCACCGTAATGTATCCATAGTAGTGTTAAAACGACGCGGCCATTCTTGATGATAAACATTTCCGCTTTAAAAATAGATCTATGGGAAGTTTTGATGTGATCATGACGGCCGTCTTTTAAGAGAAAACGAGGACGAAAATCAGAGTATTTTCTGTCTCCAGTGAAACTCTGCTCCGTCTCCTCCGACTCACTCCCCTCGTGGGCGGGGAGAGGCCACAGAGGCCTTCCCTCTCATTGGAAGACAGGGCTGGACCAGCTCACTCACACACATCACACACTTCACACACACAGAGTGAAAACTTTTCACTGACTCCACTTCCCCTGACAGGCAAGTATCAACTTAGTTCTCACTGTATAAGTTTGAGAGGAACAACAAAAGCAGGAATATATCACGACTGTGGAAAGTGCAAGTTTACATAATCCAAGAAAATATATGTTTCTTTTTTCTTGTCATACCGTTGAAAAACTGAGTCACGTGCTCTCATTGAGACCTACTAATAGTCAAAACACACCAGCCTACCAAGCAGCTGTTATTTATAGCAATGCTATTTGTATCCGCAGGGGGGCATGGTTTCCAAACTGGTATTTCCTCTATCTACATCCTTAATCTGTATCAAAGGGAAGTTAAAATATATAGCTACAAAATATTAAAGATTTTATGGAAGCTATGGAAACGCAATGCAGCAGACAATTTGAAGATACAGGAAATGTAGATATGACGAGCATTTTTTTTTTGTTTTCAGAAGAAACACAAATTAAGCTAAATTAAGTATGTTGCGAACAATACAAAATAATGTATAAATTCGCCAATGAAAGAATGTTGGCCAGACAAATAGTGATGAAACCCTATTGTTTTTCCTTTAGTCTGAAAATTCTCTTTTTTTTATTTTATAATAATGTATCTGTAATGTATGTTTGTATGTAGGAAAGTGGCGATATTATGTTTTAGCTAAGGTATAGTCATTCCCTGAAATAAAACATCACATTGTTATTATAGCATATTAGCAAAGCCAAAGTAGCATATATGTATGTATGTCTGTTTATATTGTACAATACCTGAAAACAAACATATATGAAGCACAAAATGTGCTCTGTAATGTGTATTTATACAGAGTTTGTAAGATATGGTTTCCATGACGTAGAAACAGTTGCCTACACACCTATCACCCATAGTCAAGCAAAGGAAAACAGAAAGGAATCGCGAAATACCAAACGGGACAAGGGGAACTCTGTTCCGACCACGTTTGTAGATACAATATCACACAATACCATGTGGATTTCTGCTCACCTGCTGGCTCTCAAAGGTCCAGGTGCTGTCGGGTAAAGACGCATCCAGGACACTGATCACCTCCTTAAAGTCAGTGGTGCTGCTGGGTTTAATCAAAGTGAAATCACTGTACTCTGACATCGGAGACATACAGGACCTGAAGGACTGACTCTGAGACATCATGTCTCCTCCCAGGACCTCCACGTACTTTATAGGTCCATCAGTATTGAGCTGAATCTGCAGGTTTCTGGGGTTCTTGTAATCATCACAGTCGGTCCGTCTCATGCAGCAACTACCGCTGCTTCTGCTGTTCCTCATGCATTTAACCGCTAAGATGAAAAAAGTCACCAGAGACAGCACGGACACCGAGGCCAGAGAGAGAATCAAATAAAGGGTGATTCTCCCAGTTTTCTTGCTGGGCTCGGCCGCTTTATGTCGGAGGTCTAAGATGGGCTCATGGAGGCCGTCCTCCAACAGGATGGACACTGTGACGGTGGCGGACTGGACCGGTTCCCCGTCGTCCTTGACCTCTATAAGCAGCCTCTGAGAGGAGTCGTCCTGCTCGGACACAGCGCGTTTAGTCCTCACCTCCCCTGTGTACAGATTGACAGTGAACAGAGAGGCGTCTGTGGCCTCCGCCAGTTTGTAGGAGATCCAGGCGTTATGGCCCGAGTCAGCGTCCACGGCCGTCACCTTAGTAACCAGGTGACCCGCTTTAGCGGAGCGGGGCATCCTCTGATGAGAGAGGGAGCCCAGGGCGGCGGAGGAGGGGTAAATAACAGCGGGGGCATTGTCGTTCTGGTCCAGGATAAAAACATGGACAGTGGCGTTGCTGCTGAGAGACGGAGAGCCCTGGTCCTTTGCCTGAACCTGAATCTGAAACACCTTCAGTTTCTCATAGTCAAACGAGTGCATGCTGTAGATGCTGCCGTTATCTGAGTTAATGTAAACATAAGATGAGACAGAAACGTCCTGCACTTTAGAGTCCAGTATAGAGTAAGAGATTTTGGCGTTTTCACCAAAATCCAGGTCAGATGCTGATACTGAGTACAGTATAGACCCTGGTACTCCATTCTCTTTTAAATATACATTATAGGAGGGCTGACTGAATACAGGAGGGTTGTCATTCACATCAGTGATGCTGACAGGTATCGTTTTTTTACTGGACTGAGGAGGAGAGCCTGAATCAGTGGCTGTGATCTCAATATTATATTCGGGGACATTTTCTCGATCTAAAGCACCACTGGTAACCAGTGCATAATTATTAGAAAAAGATGGTTTCAGATTAAAGGGGGAGCCTTTTGTGAGTTGTAACGTTACTTTACCGTTATCACCGGAATCGAGGTCTCGTGCACTGATCAAAGCAACTACGGTGCCACTTGGTGCGTCTTCGCGCACTGGCTTTGGCTGAGAAGTGAGGACAATTTCTGGAGCGTTATCATTGAAATCAGTAATATCAACCTGCACGCGGCAGTGGCCCTCCATTTCAGGACTGCCTTTATCTTTTGCAGTTATATCAATGTCATATGAGTTGATAGTTTCATAGTCTAACTCTCCTTTCAGAGTGATTTCACCTGTTACCGGGTTAATATCAAAAGTTGACAATACAGAATCTGGTGTCCGAGAGCCAAATGAAAATTCAATTTCACCATTTGAACCTTCATCTGCATCTGTTGCTTTGGGCTTTATGATAACAACCCCCTTTATACTTTTTTCATCCAGGGTTACTTTGTAAACGTTTTTCTCAAACACTGGAAAGTTATCATTATTGTCAAGCACATTTATGGTTATTTGTGAGGTTCCGGATCTGACTGGGTTCCCTCCATCTAATGCTGTTAATAATATTTTATGAACAGCTTTTTTCTCTCGATCTAAAGGCTTTTCTAAAACAAGTTCAGGAACGGTTTTACCACCCTCGATTTCTTTTATTTTAAGGGAACAACACTCATTTTTACTGAGAGTATATGATTTCAACGAATTGCTTCCAACGTCGGGGTCCATTGCGCTCTCCAAAGGAAAGCGCGTGCCAACTGCTGCTGATTCGGCTAATTTTAAAGATAATTCATTTGAAAGGAAACTTGGAGAATTGTCATTAATATCTCGTATTTCAACCTCGATTCGGTGTAACTGTAGCGGGTCCTCAATAACCACTTGCAGAGGTAGAACACAGCTGGCGCTTTGTCCGCATAAAGCCTCTCTGTCTATTCTGTCATTCACCACCAGCTCGCCCTTCCCCGCATCCACACTGAAATACTGCTTACCAGCCTCAGAGGCGACACGCAGCTTACGGTCAAAAATCTCAGATAGTCCCAAACCCAGATCTTTGGCTAGATTTCCTACCACAGAGCCCTGTTTCAGTTCCTCCGGGATGCTGTAACGAGTCTGTCCGTCTATTGTACTCCACAAGAGAAAGAAATGATGCCACCAAAGCGCAAGCCATCTCCAGTCTCGGTATCCCATTCTCTTTGTCATCCCTGAGTCAGTTAAATTCATCATTTCCAATCCACATGAAAAGAGGACATGAAGTCAAAATCCGAATTCCGATAACGTGACATATTCCATTTAAAAGATGCCTGATCATGGTCAAAAATAAAATTAAAACATAATCTTATACTCCGAGTGTATGAACCATCCCTATCCCCCCACTCCGTACATTGTGGTTTTGGTGCTGAAGCTGCATGGGGGAGGGAGTAGATCTCTTTGTACAGTTCTGAATGCTATTGGTGCACAGCATTCACCTCTCACATCCAATGAGAGGGATACTGAGCAGCATCGTTAAAGACACACTAACCCTTTTGTACTCTCGTGAAAGAGCAAGCGGAGCAACATCGGAAGATGCCAATTAACATTTCCATGACTTATATAAATCTAAAATAAATACATGTATGAAAATCAAAGTCTATATTTGAAAAAATATATTTACGATTACCATTTGATTTGAATGAGATGACATTTTTTCCTCGTCTTAGATTTGTAAATGCGTAAATGCCGTCATCTTTAGCGTTTAATACACCCAGTAAATGTATTCACTGAAAATAGGCATGAAGTGTGTTAGTTCTTATATTGTCATTGTTACTCTTTAGTAAAGGCCATCAACAACAGTCTATTATCGTGCCCTCTGAACGCCTCACGGGTCAAAGTCGCTGTCCACCCTTATGGTGCTGAAACGCTCAGCTCGAAAGGCTATCCAACATCCAACACAGTGTTCAGGTCAAACTATAACAGACACGGTGCCACAAAAGATATTGATGTATACAAGTTTATTTTGATATGAATGTAATATTTATATTTCAAATTGTCGACTACTATCGTAACAAATATAAGAAATTTCGGACGATCTGTTAAGCCACATTGTTATCATGACTTCTTCTTGTGAAGGCAAAGTTGTGCTTTCTTTGCAGATATTGTAGCTGAAGTATAAGTCATTGATTGTTCTACTCTGCTTACCTGCTGGCTTTCAAAGGTCCAGGTGCTGTCGGGTAAAGACGCATCCAGGACACTGATCACCTCCTTAAAGTCAGTGGTGCTGCTGGGTTTAATCAAAGTGAAATCACTGTACTCTGACATCGGAGACATACAGGACCTGAAGGACTGACTCTGAGACATCATGTCTCCTCCCAGGACCTCCACGTACTTTATAGGTCCATCAGTATTGAGCTGAATCTGCAGGTTTCTGGGGTTCTTGTAATCATCACAGTCGGTCCGTCTCATGCAGCAACTACCGCTGCTTCTGCTGTTCCTCATGCATTTAACCGCTAAGATGAAAAAAGTCACCAGAGACAGCACGGACACCGAGGCCAGAGAGAGAATCAAATAAAGGGTGATTCTCCCAGTTTTCTTGCTGGGCTCAGCCGCTTTATGTCGGAGGTCTAAGATGGGCTCATGGAGGCCGTCCTCCAACAGGATGGACACTGTGACGGTGGCGGACTGGACCGGTTCCCCGTCGTCCTTGACCTCTATAAG